AGTGACCACCATAAAATAAGTCAGTTCCTCTGTTATGGCGGGAATGTGTCAAGTGCTTGACAGTCATGTGTGGTCAGTGGAGATCCTACCAGAGAGCTCACAAAGAAGGGAATTTTTATTGTTAGAGAAAGATCTATCTTATAACAATCTGTTGTGGGATAGAAGGTAGCTGAAGAAAATTCACACAGCCTTAACATCTGGAATTGACGAGGTTGGCGTGACATATTTGCTGAATTTAATAAACACATACTTTAACAACTACTTGTTGGGCTTTCTTTTCCCATTGTGTTTTGTCTGTTTGCACCAACTATGGGCTTGGCATTATCCCATGTGAAGAAGACCCAATAGTGCTAAGCCTTCAAGTCTTTTGGGGCCAAAACAAAGGAATCCAGAACAATAAAATAACAAACAAAAATTCAAAACAAAGAAAGCTTATAAATTCATGCATAACATAGTTAAATGTGCAAGGAAGAACCACTAAGGAATCACATGGATCACTGCTGAGTAAAACCTGATAAAGGGACAGAGTGAATTTAAATGAAACTAGGAATAAGGTTAAGGGCAGATGCTGACAGGCCTTGAATTTCATGCTAAGAAGCTTCAACTTAATGCAATAGCAAACTAGTGACCCATTTAAGAATTTTAAGCAGGGAAGCTAACTTGATCCAATTTGTGTTTCCCAGGGACCACGCCAGCAGTGTGGTGGGGGATGGACCTGAGAGAGATGCTCTTGACAAACATATCAGCAAGGGCATGCTTGCTGACCAGGACAACTGGGCTAGAGAAGCAGTGTCTCCATCCGGGGCTGATCTGCAAATCAAGGGACAATGCAGGTGACAAAATGGACAAGAGAGGCGAGATGGGAAAGGATACTTGCAAGAAGTCTGCTGTAGCGGGGAGTGTCTCCCACAGATTTTGTTACAGAGCCCCGCTTCTCACTGCAGGAACTGCATTATGGGTGATTAATTCATGGCCAAGTTACTTTCTTATGAAGGTTACCACAGATACATCAGCATGACAGGTGGGGCATGGGGGAAGAAGGCTCAGCGTGTTCGAGTCAGAGCTGAATATTAGATTCTAGTCACCATTTGATTGATCTTTTAAGCAATTCTGGGATTCTGTCACTTAAAAACCAATAAATCTTTGAAGGCCCGAGGAGAGCAATACAAAAGCAATAAATCTCCATTGTGGAGTATTAGAAAAATAGGCCAAGCTGCCTAGGTGGTTTGGCTGGAGGGTGAGGGTACAGGAACCTCATGCAGTAGGCTCCTCAGTGTTCCCCTCCTCACTCTGAATTCTCAGACCTACTAGGAGTCAAACTTGGGAGGCTTCCAAAGAGTGGGAGGCTGGAATTTGGCTCTGTCAGCGGTTAAGCACTGTGGGTTGGAGGAAGAAAAGACTGCTCAGAGACCTGGGGGCCAAAGCTTAGGTATGAATCTGAGAATCAAATACTTAAATACACAGAAGGACCAGGCTGGGCCCATACATTCCAGAGTTAGAGGATCCTCCCTCCCAAAAATGTCACCCCCCAGCTGGCAAAATGTCTGACTATACAGCATCCTCTCAAAAGTCCTTCCAGATTCCCTGGACACAGTAGAGGTGGAAGACGGAACAAGTGGGGCAGCAGTGACCTCAGAGCCTGTCCTATGATCAACTAGCTGATAGTTAACACAAGTTGTCAACCCGACAGGATCTAGAATGAGCAGACAACAATTCTCTGCCTCTGTGAGGGGGTTTCTATAAGGCATTAATTGAGGTGTAAAGACCTATCCCCAATGTGGGCAGCCGGTTCCACAGGGTGTGGCCTTAGGTTGAGTGAAGAGGAGGAAGGGAAACGGGTAACAGAATCACTCACAGCTTCCTGCCTGAGGATACGATGTAACCCCGGTCAGCCTCCTGCAGCCATGACTTTCCTGCCATGTCAGACCATACCCTGGAACTGTGACCCCAAGTAAACTCCTCCTCCTTTGAATTGTTTTGGTGTTGTGTCACAGCCGTGATAAGATGAACTAAACAATTGGTTTTCCCTGCCAGGACCTGGAACCTCTCATTTAACATCGCAGACGTCAATTTCTCTCTGAAATAGGATATACTATTTCTCAACTAATTCATTCACAAGAATACTTAGAGCCAGACCATGCAACAGAAGTAAAAATGTTATCAATAGTAGTGTTTTTATATATTTATATTTGTTGATTTGGGGTGGGGAGGGAGGGATGTGTAAGTTTAAGGACAACTTGCATACATCAGGTCTTTTCATCCACCAAGTGGGTCCCAGGAATTGAATTCATAGCATTGGGTTTGGTGGCAAGCACTTTTACCTGCTGAGCCAACTTGCCAGACCAAATTATTTTCTTAAACATGGTTAATTTTAAACTGACATATAATATCTGTATTTACTGAGCACAAGTAATAATTCGATACCTGAAAATACCATATATCATGAGTGATTTAGGATAACTGGGCTCCTGAAACATCATTTCTGTGTTGGGAACACTTACCTTTTTCTATCTATGTGGAACATGTTACAAGCTGCTGCCTACTACATTTACAATCCCATGCTCTCAGGTAGTAGGACACCTTCTCCACTTTAAAATATAATTCAAGGCATCTCTGACCAGATGCCTGAAGCAAGCCCCTGGGTCTCCGAAGATCCAGGTCACTTTTCCGACCTGCTCCCGATTCCCGGTGTGCAGAGCAGCTCAGTGCCAGCCTGCCCACACGAGCTCACCTCTCCATCATGCCCACAGTTCCTCTCGGTCTAGAAAGTCGGCTCACCCCAACCATCTACTTGTTTGGTGACCTCATTTGTCTACTTCTTTGCTTGTTGTCTCACCTCCCGATCTGTTCTTTGACACACTTGCGAGATGATGTGCTTCTCTCAAGAAGGCAGAGTGAGCCTTTCTTGCTTCATGCTATACCCAGATTGCTTAGCTCACCTCCTGGTCCATAGCAAATGTTCAATAAATATTTGTTGTGTCCAGCTGCCTCCAAGATGCACACCCTCATGACCGGGCTCGTGCCCGGGTAAGAATAGAGTTACTGCAACAGAAATATATAGCAATGCTTCTGCTCTCGCGGCAGTTGTCCTGAAAGGCCCCCTCTTTGTCGTTGCTTAGTCTCCTCCCCTTGGCAAATGCCCAGGCTCTGGTCTGAAAATAATTCCAGAGACAGAGGGTACACCCACTCTCAGTGAACCGGGGCCTTGGGAAGGAAGGCAGCCAGAGATTTCTAGACACTAACCATTTCCCCTTTGAGCAGTGACATTTCCTTTAATTTTTTAAGATGGAAATGTCAGCACACTATGTCATGCATACTATCCTCCTAGCAAGATGGCGTGGTTCAGTAAAATAAATGTGGTGCGAGGGTCAGAACCGGGCTTCCATCTTATCTTGCCTGGCCCACTGGTTTCATGGTCTAAGTCATCTCATTAGCTTCTGTTTGTCTGTTTCCATATCTTCAAACTGGGCTGTGTGGGGGCGGGGGAAGCTTTACAGGACCTTTACTTCGTTTCTGCATCTCAGCTTCCTCCTCTGGAAAGGAAGACACCATCTCACAGTATATATGGAAAATTAAATGAGGATGCTGTATCAGAGCGGCTGGAGGGAAAGCAGGGAATGAGTACCTTGGCTTGAAATGCCAGCATCTTCTTTGGATTATCAGAAGAAGGACAGTTCTGACATCCTATAGTAAGAGGCCCATGAGCATCACCCCAACCTGCTGCAGGGCTGGACCCCCTGAGCCCAGTAAAAAGGGCCATCACCCAGCTTCAGATCAGGCAAGAACTTCTGCATTTTTGTTGGTTCGTTCTGTTGGTCCCACCACTATAATTTCTGGATAGAGGTGAATGAGGGTTGAAAATGAAGACCAAGGCTATGTATCTCAAGAGCCTCCTTCTAGGCTGGTCTCCCAGCCCCCAGAGAAAACAAGGTGATGCTGCTAAAAGTGAATCCCTGACATATCCCCCAAGGTCCTCAAATCAGTCCAAGCCTCTCAGACCCACCGATTCCTTTCCATCTCTCCCTCTGCCCCTGCTCCTTAGGTTAAAGCAGACTTAACTAGGCATGGCTGTTTCCTTTTTAATAAGCCATCCTGGTTCACACTGGACACTTGTAAGAAGTCAAACCTTATACAACCAAGTGTCACCTTCTTTGAGAGTTTTAAGACTGCACAGCATTGTACCTATGCCATGTATCTGTTTCTTTAACTACAGGTTGGCTTCTTTTGAACATAACACCAGTTGATACCACAGTCCAAGCACTTAAACTAATGAAGACGTGCTCAGTGAATCATTGTCTCCAGTCCTCACATCCCATCCATTGTGTATAAGAATCTGGTACGTGCTTGGTGGACCGAACTGAGCCAATCTGGAAGTTCTGCCTAACATTCTTCTCATTTCAATGGACTGAGGTCCTGAGACACGGAGTTCTGAGCAAAACCAGCGGTCAATGTTGTTGCCTTGTGCAAAGGGGATATTGTTGAAAATAAATGCCAGCCTATCCTGATAGTTAGGAACTTTCACAAGTCAACAAGTTAATGAGATGTTCTTGGGTCCCAACAAATTCTCATTAAAATAATTAGTACGATCCTGAAGGCATAGCCCCATGGGACTTTTAACACCTCATATCTCTGGACTGAACCAGCCCCTGGTCTCATATTTGAACTATGTGAGCAGATTATCTGGAGAACATATCTATCTGTCTGTTATGGCAGTGAGATGGGTGTCTTGCAAAGATTCCTGTATCTAGGTTTTCCACCCACAATTACCCTTACCAATTCAGGTCCCTACCAGGGTGTTCACTCAGAATGGATGCTCACTGTGGGGAAAGAAGACACTGGCTCAGCGTCTGCCTCTGAATTGGGCTTAGAGTTGCTGACCAATCTTCCTTATGGAAAATCTGGCTTCTGGCTTATCTCATCCAGGCACACTGCCAGTCATGTGATTCACCTGGAGATGCATGAGGCATAGCAGAAGAAAGCCACAAAGGATAGCTCCTCACCTGACAGGGGCTCCCCGAGACTGGGCAGGTTTGAGCATCACTGTGATGGTCGTTTCTGTTTCATTAAGTGGTGTATCTGCATCGTATTCAGGCATCGACGGAGCTGGGCAAGAGAGAGAAATTGGACTTGAGGACTTCATATACCAAATGCCTCTCAACATGCCCCCTTGATCTCAGCCTGGCTGAACAGAGGTAGAGGGTGAGAACCCTTTGGGATCAGAGGCCTTCGGCATGGGGGGCCTTGACATCCCACCTGCAGCTTCTCTCCAGATGCAACAGTCTGAAGGGGTGTTAGGCATGAGCATCATCAAAAAGCACCTCTCCCATGCAGGAAAAAGGAATGCACAGGATATATAAGTACTTAATAAAGATGCAAAAACAGAGTCAACCTCCTTAAACAAATTTAGATGCAAATTAAAGCAAAGATGGATTTGTTCCATTTTTTTCTAAGACCTTCTCCCCCCACAGGAGTGTGACTAAATCTAATTCTTTGAAAGGGTAATTTAGCCATTTGTATTATGAGCTATTAAAACCCACATCTCTTTTAATGCTTTTTTTTTCAATTTCTGAATTTAATCCTGAAGTTATAATCCCAATCAACGATTTAAACTTTATTTTGTAACATGTTTATTGAAGCGCTATTTTATAAAAATGTAAAAACACCAAATATATTCAACCACAAGGGACTGTTTAATTAAATTACGTCCATCCAGTTGACAGACATTATAATGAAAGCTACACAGCAGTGTGGGAAATACTTATGGGATGAGGATAAGTGGAAACATTAAGCTACAAAAAACCATGGCTTCTGTAAAACCACATGCAAAATACATATGCATGCAGATCAGACTGAATAGATATTCCAAAATATGGAAGCTGTAAATAAGCATTTTGCAGCAGTTCTTTCTGTTCTAATGCTCTCAGGCGGTGTGGTGCACCCTACAGGTAGAGACAGTTTGCAATCTTGGGCTAGCACAGCTTACTCATCCATCCATCCATCCATCCATCTGGTATTTCATGAGAGGCAGTGCTGTGGTTGTCTTATACCGGAAAGTATTCTATTTGGAAAACAAATTTATAAACCATTTTATGTGCCCTCACACACATATTCTCTCTCACATACACATGCATTCTCTCTTTCTCTCTCCCTCTCTCTCTTTCTCCTTCCACCCCAGGGCATGTTACTCCGTGAACTTCAGAAAGTTTACCAAATGGACTTTCTTCGACCCAAAAGGGACATCGTTGCCTAAATTGTTCAATTGTCACATGTGATGGTCTATTCTGTCTCTTTTTACTCCAGGAAATTATAAAGGCTGCAGGAGACAGGAGTATAACCCACCCCATTTCTCTTTCTAAAAGAGATACCTGAGATCTTGGTGGCGATCCGAGTGGTGACAGGGGGTCCAAAGCCCTTGGCTGTGCTGGCCTTGATGGTGAAGGAGTAGGTGGTTCCTGGGTACAGACCCACAAAGAGGTGGTGGGTTTCATTCCGGAGTTTGAACACTTTTCCCCTCTGGCTGGACAGGTCGGCGTTTGGATCCAGTGAGCCAACAGCCTTGTAGTTAATCTGTGTGACAAAGTGAAAAGCAAGCCTTTAAATGCTGTACTCAGTAACCAAGGCACTGGAGAGGGACAGCAGAGGCAGGGAGGAGAAGGGAGGCAAGTTAGGCCCCATGTTACAGAGATACTTGGTACAGTACAGCCCTAGGGTTTCTACTGACAAACCCATGGAACAGTCATGTCTAACACAACCAGAGTGTGCCATTACATTTTCTACATCCCCCCAGCTTCCAGAGTTTAGAAAGGGGGCAGTTGTGGGAGAATACCCAAAGGAAAGGGAGACAGTAGCGCATACGTAAAATGTGGGTGGGTAGGGAGGTTACTGGAGGTGGGAAGGTTTAATCAGCGTGAGGGATAGAAGATGGGGAGACGGGAGAATAGAGAGGGTTAGCCAAAATGAAGGGGATATGAAAAGCCACCTAGAAACTTGCTTTCTTTGTTACCATGCAATCCAATTTAAAAGACATAAAAGAATTATTTGACAGATGCCTCCCATGGATAGATAATGTCAATCCTAGAAGCAATAGGCCACTAAACAAACTTTTCAGCTTCAGGTGTGGGATGTTGATTTGGGAAGCTCTGTTCCTGAAGGTACCACACTTGAATGCAAATACATACAAAGCAAACAACCCTTGAGCTGGAAGCCTCCTCCCTGTTGTCTACTGTTCATGGTAGTGTCAAACAGTGCTACACGGGGTGCTGCAGGGAGTAAAGAAAGGCACTAGTGGTTTTACCCAGCTGTGAACTCTATGAACTACATTGCCAACATGTCGGGTAAGATATGCTCACTTGTACAATAATGGTATGGATGATATACGAGTAACCAACAACTCTCTGCTTGAATTTTAGGCCCACTCCATGAGAGGTAATCCATCCCTGGTACTTCACACCCAGTCAAGTAATTGTGACTGAGGAGGTCTTAGGCACCAGTAGGGAAGCCTACTACACTGTAGCTTAGTTAAACAAGCATAACATTAAGCTGCCTTCTATACATCTATGTTTATACTCACAAAGGATACTTTTTGCTCAAATTAGAGAAGCCTATCTATGCAGTGAATATAACCAAACACAGAATTTGTGGTTGGACAGGGTGCTGAGAATAAATGGTGGTTGAAGGTTTAGCCCTAAACAAGGTATTCACACCACATCCTAAGAAGGTTATCACAGAGATCGTTACAGAGGAATGCAAGAGCTCAAAGATAAAAAAGAAAGGCCGCAGAATACATTTTTTTAAGCATGACACTGCCATGGAAATCATGAATTCATATCTGTTGTCAATACTGGCACCGGGCCTACAAAAGAATGACCCAGCCAACAGTTAGCTATGGACTAGGGAGGAACACATTGGGCCTTACCACTTACTGCTGAAATACTGTCAGTTAACAGACCAGGTGAGGGGAAGGCAGAGTTTCTAGTGGTGAACCCACTGGTGAATCCACCAGGCTCAGATCAGTGCTCTGAACCCAAGATTACACCGATGGCCCAGGTGCATTAAGAAATACTTTGCTAAGGGCTAGCTAGATGACTCAGCAGGCAACAGTGCTAGTTGCCCAAACCAAGTCTGATGCCCGCAGCCCACGTGAAGAATGGATGTGGTGATGGGCATCTATATTCCGGTGTTCTCATGGCAACCTGGGAAGCAGAGGCAGGAGGCTCACCAGCCAGTTAGCCAGGAGTATGTCGTGCAGCAGCAAAACAAGAGCCCCTTCCTCAACTAGGTCAGAAAACAGAACCAACTCTCCAAAGTTGTCTCCTGACCTTCACGTGTGCAGCATAGCATCTGTACACACACACACACACACACACACACACACACACACACTTAAATTAAAAAAAACTTTTCCATGCTTCTAGAACAGGCAAACCAGGACAAAGAGGAGTCATGCATTCTTTATTAAGAAAGTGAACGGTTTCTTATCCCTGGCATAGGAAGCAACCGTGTTGGAGATAGAGTGATTTCTTGTATGAGGCAGTTGTGACGTAGCAATGGTACCACGTGTTTAACGAGAGAGGCTAATCTTGACTAGGCTCAGGGTGAGCCCAGGGAGAGAAACTCCAAGTGTTGATAGCCTGGGTTTTCAGAAGCAGAGTCTACACATGCACATCTATCCACAGGTGGCTAGCAGCTTTAGGATGCTCTGATGGGACCATCTTTCCATCCCAAGCTCAGAAGCTTGTAGGGCCCCAACTCTGCATGCTTTTCTGGTTGGGGCACTCTCGGTGACTGCATTAATTCCCTAGGTCCAATGATAAATCTGGGGATTTAGCTGTACTTACTCTATATTCTGATCTTCACATGTATGCCATGGCACACATGCATGTATGTGCATACAAGCACACACAAATAAAATAATTAATTCAAATAAAGTTTTATTTACAATATATATTGTATATATGTTTTGTTTACAATATATTGTAAATATATACATATTATTTACAATATACATTGCAAATATGTATTTTATTATTTACAATATTTTATTATAATTTATGTGATACATATCTACATATGGTATGTAGAATAATATTGTATATAAAATATTATGTATATATATATGTATGTGTGTGTCTTGCTTTCTGCTTCCTGTCCCTGTCTTTTCTTGTTGTTTAAAACTGGTGCTTCTTACATTTCCCAATCACTTGCTGAGCATCAAATCATGGGCTTAGAGCCTGCGTCTGAGCAATACTGAACCAAGATGCAATGCTCAGTCCTTACTTAGGAGAGAAAAGATCTGAAACTGAAGGTGGAATGGAGTTACAGCTGAGGGAAAAGCTCTGCACGGCCCAGGCAGAGACAATAGGCTGGGAAAGGGCCTGCAGTGGGGAAAGGCTCACACAGAGAGAAGCCCAGGGTGAGTCCAGTGCAGAGGGCAAGTGAAGAAACGTGTACAACTGGACTCCCGTTTCCTAGCAACAGAAGAGGGAAATACTCAGAGGCGTGCCTGAGGCCAGGGACTCTGGTGCACCAGTGGAAAGGAGATGCCTTTGTATTTTCCTAAAAATCGGTCCTAGTGACCCTGCCTTGGGCTGGCGGCAATGCCTCTGATATACAGACACTCGGAGTGAAAGCTCATGCCTTATTTACTAGCCGGCTCTTTTCCTGAACTCCAAATTCAATCCAAAAGTGACTCAATTTCGACGGAGCTGTCAATATAATATACCACGCTCCCCTGCTCTCCTAACCTTTCCTGGTATTACAGGATCCTCACTTACTTGTAATGAAACACTATGAATAAATCAATGTATGTTAATATAGCATGCCTTCAATTTTTTATGAGGGGCTTCACCAAATCTAATTCCCACTGCTTTGTCAGAAACAGTCTTTGAAAAATTTAACTTGCAAGTTTTACAAAGTTAGCACGGGATCGGGCCGGGGAGGGAGGCAGAAAGGTGAGAGAAACGTGCTGGAGTCATGGCCGCCAATGAAGAGGTGACCTGACTCTCTGGAGGTGGCGCAAAGAGAACATTTATTAGCTGACAAGCATGAACTGAAAGGCTAGTAAGAAACGGAGCCCAGCTACACCTGAGTCCAGAGGTCTGGAGACTGGATTTGGCTACACCCAAATGCTGGATGCTGTTCTTTTCTCTGGCTGGGAACAGTAGAATCAATGGCTAGAAATCTCATATATCTTGTCACAAGAAGTGAGGGTTTCCTTGGTTCTGAGGGGTGAGACCGCCTCCGTGTCTCTTGGAGTTGGCCAGCTTAGGATCTAGGCTGACTTCTATGACCCCGCCTTGGCCTAACAACCTGATTTCACTACCTAAAAGGATTCATAGTCCCTTTAACCATATGACATTTGAACAGGCGAGTGGATCATTTGGGGACACTTCTTCCTTCCCTACGCTTCTTCCTTAAGGCATGGCTCCTCATCTTTAGACCTCACTGAAGGCAATACTTCACATGAACACCTTCTGTGGCTACCAGTTACCCCTGCCTTATATTTTCAAAGACATATAAACAAGTCATCTTTCCTATGATTCACTAACCTTATATTAATCACACATCAATGCGTCTCCCTAATCCTCCTGTTTTTTTTTTTTTTTGTTTTTTTTTTTTTTTGTTTTTTGTTGTTAGCAGTCAAGCAGTTGATAGAACATAGATCATGAGTCAAGTCCGGAAATCACCTGCTTCTTATGGGAATAAAATCTCATTAGAGCACAGATATAGCACTCATCCGTGTTTCCAATGGCTGCTTCCACACTAGCACGGCAGAATTAAGGCGTTGAGACAGACTGCATGGTCCATATACCCCCAAATATGTTTGTTCTCTGACCTTTTATAGAAAGGGGTACCTGACCCCTGTGCTACACTTAAAGCTCATTTGTGTGTTGTTCCTGTTCATCATGTGTGTTCATGTATCTAGGCAGGTCTATATGTATGCGGGTGCACATGTGTGTGGACCCAAGAACATGTGTGTGTACAAGCGTGTGGCAATTAGGGGATGCTCTTGAGTGCCTATCCTCAAGGACACCATCCCCCTTACTTGTGGGACAGCTTTCTCATTGACCTGGAAACCTCTCCTTAGGTTAGGCTGGCTGCCTATCCCTGCTGAGAATACAAACACATACCAACAAGCCTAAGCTTTTTTGTATGGGGTCTAGGGATCATACACGGGTCCTCTTGATTTCAAGGTGATGCCTACTCAGCCCTCTCCCAGCTAGGGTAAGAACTTTCTCTTGTTTTTCTTCAACATTTCCTCAACTTGCTTGTGAAAACAAATGGTCTCATTAGTTGTGCAACTGGGGCAGTTTGCTTATCCTCCTCTGAGCCTCTGGTCCTTCAAGGGTAAAACATGGATTCTAATTTGAGTTTCTGTAGCTTCAGTGGACACAGGGACATCCTGGGAAGAACAGACTGTTCTTCTACCAGAGCTGAGTGTAGGGGACAAGAAATAGAGCAGTCCCTCAAAGGGCACTACCAGGAAAGATCTTGCTCCAGATGCTGCCAATTCAGGGGTGAGGCTAATCAGTCAGCCTTGTTCTCAGGGAAGGGCTGGGAAAATCTTG